CCTTTTAGGAAATTGGCTTATTAGTCTTTATGTATTTCGCGGCTTTTCCTGCGAGGCCCAAAACAGATACGTTTCCTACGGAAGGAGAGGAGAGGGGAGGAGCGAACTCCAGGCGCTCAAAGCAAGTTGGGAACTTTGCCGATGCTTTTGCCCATAGCATGCCCTAGCTAATACACGACGTTCAAGCCAGGTAATGAAAACAAAGGGAAGTTAGACACCGGTATTATGTACGGCATGAATGTTAGATAGAGTAAAGCAAGTTCGCAGTCGAAGTAGAGAGGTGTAGTTCACCACTATCGTAAAAGCAGGTGCCCAAGTGTCCACGGTGTATACGTTAGAGCGCATTGGCTGAGAGCATCGCTGTGGCGTCAGCCATGAAGTTGATTGGCCGGTGTGCATATCTGCCATTGGCCAGACAGCAATCAGAGAATCCCTTTTTTTCGGGGGATTGGTCAGATGCGCTGAAAGCACCATTTGGGGCCTCAGAATGACTGCGTCAGGGTAAGTATGCGTAAAAGTGCAGTGTTGCAGAATGCAGGGAGTAGAGCCTTTACAGTTTGTAAAAATACCTTCTAAGCTATGTTGGACAAGATTCCTGATTGGGAGCCCTACGGACCAGGTGGTCAGAATGCGAGGTTTAGTTAAGTCCAACCATTTCTAGTTCACTCGAGCCTCGCCGCAGCCACTCGGGTTTGCATAGTTAGGTCCCTTAAGTAGTCTGTCAAACTACCTCGATACGTTGGGTGATTAAAATAATATTTTTATGGCTCTTACGACTGGACCTGTTATGGTAGCCTTGAATATTATTGTTATGCCCCTACGTGTTATTCCCTCTGTCATTCACAGTCGGGCTGGTACGTATCATTGATGGGGTAGATTCTTGCTATATAGGCCGCTAGTCATGCATAATGCCTTCAATTTAGCGGCATTGCATATCATTTTTAATACGAACTAAGTCTCTTTGTTGACGCCAGGCCAGAAAGGCTCTGTTTCAGTGACACTTTTTTAAATTCCCTAGATTTTCTCATACTATGATGTCTCAACTAGAGATGAAAATTACTACACACAGGGGGAAATACAGCCGGTTATTCGTTTGACGCCTAAGATATGACATTTCATAAAATGTTTGAACAATTGGAAACTGCGACCTTAAAATGAAGTGGCAGAAAAAGCAAAGTACGCCTCAAAAAATTCTGACGACCAGTGGCTGAATACGTGTCAAATCAAACGAGTACGACTCATTTATTTATTCCACCACCACGTGTTACAGAAAGTTGGTGGCTTATTAAAACGACCACTATTCAGTATGATTGTGACCATAGACGAATTGACTAAACGCAGACCAAAACAGGGCTTACGATCCCGAGTGGTTAGAATCAGGGTTCACTGATTTTCCTTAGGCATAGCCTATTGTTCTAAGGGTCTATATTATCTCCTCAACTCTTCTCCCTTCCCACTGACGACCTACGATCACTAAACGAATGTTTGTTTGTTAAATATGCTGATGGTATGCTTGTTGGCCATCCTTTCAAGATTCAGATACATCTCCAAGCACTGAAGGAGGGAGGAAGTGGAGGAGAGGCAAAGGGTCCGACAATTACTTCATGTCGCTGCATTCTCGCCGTCTTGTGCTGTGGTAGGAGGCGTGAGGCAGCGACAGCATTCTTCCTACTGCCTGATGATGAAAAATCTAAAACATGCGTTCACCAGAGTTGGCTTCTTGAATGCTAACACGTGTATCATCACTGAACATAATTGTTTTACATAGTTTTTATAGTGCTTTTAGAGGTCCCGCTACTCGCATCGCCGTCGAACTTCCGGCTTGTTTTAGGAGCGGATTTAGGACGCTAGAGAGGCCGATAGGAGCGACAAGGCGAGTTCTTAATCTGTGCATGTATCACACTATTCTAGGGTTATTTCTGTTGAAGGCTGCTCGACAGAATCCGAAATGTCGGGCAAATAAAATTCTTATTCCAGCGATCGCATCTTCTACTTCTGACACGAGAGAGACTTCATAAGGCCTGGCCTTAAAACCTTATTCCTTCAATCGAAACGGAGTCACAAAAGTGACTTAATAAATATTGAGTTGATTGTTTTAATTTATCCTAGAACGTCATTTATTAGGAGGAGCAGGAGTATATTAACATTAAAGAAGGCGATTTATTAAAATGGCAAAAAAGCACAAGAAATACGACGGTTTGTTAATGTCTAGTGAGCTCAGGTTTGCAGAGGTGACATTAGCATCATCATCGTACCTTCCCAATAAGAGCAAGAAATTCACTGCGACACCGGCGGTCCTCCTTAAACTGACCCAGCATTGTGCTCGTAACGGTGACAGCATTGATCTTCTGAACGCCGCGCATAACCATACACATATGGGTTGCCTCGATGACCACGCCGACCCCAGCTGGCTGGATGACTTCGGCGATTGCCATCGCAATTTGTTTGGTCAGTCGTTCCTGGACCTGCAGGCGACGAGAGAAAACTTCCACAATGCGTGCCAACTTACTCAGTCCCAGAATCTTACCAGCCGGTAAGTAGCCGATTGAAACACGACCCACAAATGGCACCAGATGATGTTCACACATGGAGAACATTTCAATGTCCTTCACCACCACCATTTCTTCGTGATTCTCGTCGAAGATGGCATCATTCAAGAGTTCGCCAATATGTTCCTCATAGCCCTTCGTGAAGTAGAACATGGCCCGCGCAGCTCGCTCTGGGGTCTTAATCAAGCCCTCGCGGTCAGGATCCTCTCCAACACACAGCAGAACATCCCTGTAGACGTCCTTGAGGGCACTGAATCGGTCTAACTGCTTCAGTGTGGGATCAATATCCCTTTGAGCGTCCGCAACGTTCAGACCGGAAGGCTGGGGCGGCTTGGCCTTCTCTATTGTCCCATTCCCCAAATCGTTCACAGTGGGGTATTCCTCCTTTGGTGAGTCAGCAG